AGATAGATAGATAGATAGATAGATAGATAGACAGACAGACAGACAGACAGACAGACAGACAGCAAAAACAAGTATTGCAGTATTTTAATTTTTTCCTCAATTTTCCCTTGTTTCCAAATGAAAGAAAATAATTTATCTCTGCATCTCAACTCCTTAGTATTTCTCTTTAAACTTTCATTTCTGACTATATTTCTAGGAAGAAAGGTACCTTATTGCAAAAGGTATTCATTTCCTTCACAAGCACCAGGGAAGTCTGCAAAGTATGGTAAAAAAAAAAAAAAATCAAGTTGGCAGCCATGACAGGGTGATTGAAGCTCTGCCTGGTTTTTATGTAGTCACATCTTGACTTTTTTTACCATACCTTGCAGATACTCCTGACAAATACACTATTGTTTTCACATCTACATGCCTCTAGGATCAATGAAAACATGCAATTTAACCATTGCTGTCTTGAGATTTGTCAGCAGCCCTTACCTAGCCCTTGAATTTATTCAAACAAGACAGAACACAGTTCAGGCAAATTTATTTTTCTCTTCTTCCATCAGAAAAACAGAACCATACAGACCCAAGTTCAATCATGCCTAAAACCTTCTTACTGGACATTTGAACAAGAAAATGAAAGCAGAATGTCACTATTATATTTACTTGGTCACGCTCAGGGATAGTGGGAAATGAATTCTCTTAAGTCCTTCAGTAATGTCACTGGTTTCCAATTCCAGAAATGCCTTCCTAGTATTTTCAAATGCATGATAAGCTGTGTCACATTTCATAATCCCAAAGTAGCATTCCTGTTATTGTAGAAGAGATGAAGCTGTTCTTCTGCACAGCACAGTTATTTCTCCCCTTGCTGCTATAGCATCTGGCAATGTTTAAAGATGCAAAAGAAGAGAAGCTTAAAAACAAACTCACTCTTTTTCTTTCCCAGCTCCTTTTTTTCTTTCCCAGCTTTTTAGCAGGTTCCAAAGAAAATAGGGCTGCAGTATTAAGGCTGATTACCGAGGATGCTGCTTCTCAAAGAATCAGAATAATTTTGTACTATAGCTCAGGCAAACTATATTTTGAGATTCTATGTAAGCACAGCATGTGGCACTAATTACACAGTTCAGATTCCAGAGAATCTCAGGCATCATTTTAGAAAACACAAGTTTCTAATTCTTTGTGATGCAAATATAAGCTTTTAAGGAGGTCTGTTTAGATTTTTTTCCTTTTACATTAAGCACCGACATTCGTCATATGTACAAATCAGACACTTATACAGGTAGTCCATGTTTAGCAACTGCCTCATTTAGCGACTGTTCACAGTTACGATAGTGATGAAAAAGTAACCTTACGACCAAGCCTCGCATTTACAACCTTCACAGGTCTGTAAAAGCAAAGGAAAGCTGAAGTAAGATTAGTGAAGAACAGCTGCAGTTTCACTTAGCAACCTCTTCACTTAATGACTAAGTTGCCGGTCCCAACTGTCATCACTAAATGAGGACTACTGGTATAGCTATATTTCATTTCATAGTGTTTCTCACTATGAAAAAAACTGAATTCAGATAACTAGCAGTAGTTCTTTTGCTTTGTGTGACTGTTTAATACAACACAGTTGGAGTTGTGTATCTTTGACAATATTGCAAAGGAGGTAATATCAAGAAGAACAGATGATTTTGGAAATTGGTCTCTTTTCTCTTTTGACTTTTTAAAAATCACTTATACAATGATGTTGTCTTCACTTACCATGATATTTCTACATACCTTCTCATTTTGAATTTCCCAAAGAATAAGAAGTTTGTCTGACCCGCCAGATATTAATTCCATCTCATAAGCTGTGATATAGAGGGATATAAAAAGACTGAATAATCCAAGTCAAAATTATTTTTCCAAATACTAATCTGTTTTTGAGCAGTTCTTTTTAAAATCAAAAACTATTTGCAAATAATTGTAGAACAGTCAGCTGCTTTTGGTTTATTTTTTCCTATCATTTCCAAAGAGAGAAATAGGAGCTCTTGCACTCTAAAGATAATAAATCAATATCCTCCAACTTGATTCCCTGCTAAAATGTAACTCTCAAAATACCTAGCCAGCATATTTTATAATCATGTTACCTGGTAATTTTAAAATATGATTCCAACACATCTGGAGTCCAACAGATTGAGAAAGGCTACAATAAATCCTGAACAGAATCTCACAAATTTACTAGAATAAACTTTCTTCATTCTATCTGCTTTTCACTAAACAGCAGGTCTCATTAATTTTATATATATAGATATATAAATACACAGAGGTTGAATTAAAAGTAATGTCTCCACCTCCATAACTTTAGTTTAAATAGGGATATTTTAATAAGTGAAACAGGAAAATAATTCTTGAACAGAGGTCTTTTGTTATTTTTATTTACTTATCCACATAATCGTCATCATTCAACTACATACTTCACAGTGTCTTGCTTAAAGTGCACTGATTACTCACTGCAGACTTCCATTTCATGAACTATAGCAAAACAACCTTTTCTCACAGTAACTTCCTACCATAGGAAGTAAAAGAAGAGATGCCAAAGAACATGTCAGAGCTTCTAGAGCATGATTTTTATTGTATTTTTATTGTATTTTAATTAATATTTATTCTTGTTTTACCGTAAACTGCCCAGAGTCACTCTTGAGTGAGATGGGCAGTGACTAAATTTGAAATATAAATAAATAAATATAAATAAATCAGTACTGCCATATCTTGATGATTTATAACATTAGAGGCATTGCTTTTCATTTAACCTCTGTGTGTGTGTGGGGGGGTGTTGTATGGATTATAGTCTTCTCAGCAGATATTTTATTTATTCATTATGTGTTATATTTATACACACCAAATCAAACCAACTTACATCTTTCCCTCATTTTCCACATTCATAAGAATGCTATCAATAGGAACACCCCATGGTCAAAAGCTTCTTAACCCCTGGCATCCTGGCACCCCAAGAATCATAAGAAAGGTCAGTCTTCAGCATTAAGCTGTTAAATGTTGCACTTTTGTGACTAAATTAAACCCATTGTAGAATAGGCTATGTCAATTTGTAGTTGCTATCTTGTCTGCAGGATTCCCTAATCTTTTTCACCTGATGCACAAATTTGGAATTCTGAGAACATACTTGGGGAGTTCTTGCAAAATTTAGGTGGTCTTGTGCCTTGTACATTCATAAAATGGCTGCTGTGGATAATTTAACAAGTTACGAAGCATTATTTTACCGGAACACTGCTTCCATACAGTCTCCATTCCCTAACTACAGAATACTTTCTATTTCCTGATTATCTTTGCCATATTGCTAGGAAGGTCTACACACTTCCAAACAAAGCATTTGGGCTTCAATTACCCAAATGCTTGAGACCATTTGAGATCGAGAAGCAGCACTAGAAATAAAGATGTCATTGGCAATTTGCTTTGCAATGTTTCATCTCTCTTTTTTATTTTTTTAATGAAAAAAACCATGTGGAGCCACAGTGAAAGGCCACAGTGGAAATCCCAGTCTTCATAAAACAGCAGGATTACTCAGTAGCTTGATTAAAAAACCTAAGACAGAGCTACAGAGTTGATGCCAAATTATTCTAGAATCACACCAAATCATCAATTTCTCATCATCAGTTCTCATACTGAACACAGTTGAGAAGTCAATTCAGACATAAAAAATGTGATTCCAACTTCTAAATTTCTAAGAGGTTTCAGTCATTATTGGCATAGATCTTGAAAAATGTATACCCCTCAGAAACGCATTTTGCATGTAAAAATGTCCACCAGAGGGCACTCACACAGCAATACAATAAAACTGATTTTGTGGACCAATGGAGGGGAAGGATGTCAATTAAAGTTGAGTATCTGTTAAATCTAAATTTTAGATAACTGATCAAAATGAATAACTGTTTTGGAAACAATAGGCTTTGACCATTATTTCATGGTGCATTCAAAGTCCATAATATGGCAGTCCATAAAATCAAGGCTTTCTTGTCATCATAACCCAGATAATGCTTTGAGAACTTAAAGGACAGAAAAAAATCTCTAGCCTGTACCCAAAAACTATCCAACTAATTCTGCATGTTTAAAATGTTGAGAGTTTAACATCTTACATAAATTCCATAATGTAAAACAAGAAAACACACTCAGGTGTTGGGCCAGGATGTTGGATAAGCCAGTCTGGTGTAATATTTGAGATGATGCATTATGATCTTGGTTTGTGCTGTTTTATGTTGTGCTTTTGTGCTTTTATTTTGACTATGTGCCATCAAGTTGGTGTTGTCTCAGAGATCACATAGATTTTCTGCATGATGATCTGCTCCTGCCCTGCTCTTTCAGGTCTTCGTGTTTATTACACACTTTCCTTGGTATTTTAATTGTACATTAGCCACCCAGATGTGCAATCTGTGAGTTGAGCAGCCATAGATATTGCATAAATAAAATAACATGAAATAAATCTTTCCAGCATTTCTCTCTGCTTTCCCCAAGCTTTGCCTGATCTTTATCAGCCTGCCCATTCTCTTCCAACTTCTGTGTCCTGCCTTTCCACCCTTACCCACTCTTCCACTTGCTAAAAGGCTGCAGCTCTTTCATCCCTTTAAAAAAATATATTGTTGACTTATGGGAAAAAATGCAATACATCTTCCATTATACTTTTCTGGAACAAAACAAACAAAAAGCCACTTATATCAGCAGAGAAGGCTATGACAGTCTCTGTCTTGTAGCTCCCTCTACTGATTAAAAAAATGCAACTTCTTCTTTTATGTTATTACTGTATACCCTGTCAAAATAATAAAGTCAAATTTAGAACTGAAATAATAAAATGTAATATTGAAAAACAACAAAATAAAATATGAAGTATATATAAAACTATCCTTGTTCTTTCTTGGAGTGTAGCATTTGCCTGAAAAATCCAAAGCTTGGTGTGACCTTTAAATCAATGGAAATTGTACATCCATTGGCTGAGTGTAAAGTATCAAGCCTATCATGGTTTTTTTCGGTCTAACCCTGTTCCTGTTACAATGCCTTTGCCTCACATAATGAACACAGGTGTTAAATTTTCTACCAATACTTTCTATTATTCCAGGTACAAAATATAAGCATTAAAACCAGGCAAACTCCTTCTAGACACATTGATACAGTACTTACATCCATCTTTTCTGTGAATCCACCGAACACAATTAATTCTGTCAGTATGACCATTCAATGTTCCCACTACTTCTCTTTTCTAGAGGGAAAGACACACATATAGCCAGATTTGTCTTAGTTATAAAAAGGAATGATGAAAAGTTTTGCTCTTAAGAAAAAAGAAAAAGTTCACTGCAAAGATACTGTTGAAATAGTTTCAATATTTTCAAATGGGCAGAATAGCCTAGGAGAATCCTGAGTAAGATACCAAATATTTCAGCTACTCGGGAACTCTATGCAACCATCTGTCAGGCATTAACAAAGCAAAGCAATGCAGATTTCAAATTGATTGGCATATGCATATATGTTACTGTAAATATTTATCTTCTATTTTATTATAAATCATACCCAAGGCAGCTTATGACTCACAAATAAGCAACTGGGTTTATTCAGTTTATTTGGCTCTTGATTTGTGTTATGTGGAAACCCAGTCATTGTGATTTGTCTTGTCAACTCAGCATTGTGTAAACTAACTACAGTGGCTTAAACAACAATCCCTGGCTAAAAATCTATGCTTAGCATGATATGAGAAGTCAGCAAATGTGTACACTCATTTCATTTCAATTAAGCATAGTTTGCAGTTATGCAAGTTTTCAGTTTAGCTTTCTTTCTCATTGTTGTGATTGCATGTTATTTTATTCATTTATTAGATCGATCGATCCCACTTTTTCTTCAGCAACTCAAGACATCAGACATAGCACTCCCACTTCCAAAATTCTTCCACAGCAGCATCCTAGAGGTAGATTAGGCTGAAAGACAGCACCCAGCCCAAACTCACCCAGTGGGCTCCCATGGCTGAGAGTGGACTAGAACCTGGGTCTCCCTGCTCCAGGTCAATATCTTCACTACAATGCTACACAGCAGCCTGACTGACAAATCTGTTCATCTGAGTAACTGATCAGTATTAATTTTATGTATTCAAGTGTTTTACGGACAGGTCATTGACCACAGTAAATATTCTGTTTTGTTCTGCTACACGGGCATATATGCGCGCCCCTCAAAAAACTCTTTAATTTTTATTACATCTTTATCATGCCCTTCTTCCATAAACTCTAGAAGTTGCCCAAGGTCTCTCCCACCGTTTCATCCCTGTAACCAGCCAACTACACGAGGTAGGACAGGTTAAGAGAGAACGGTACCCAGTAACGTTCAGGACTGACCCTCGTCCTCCCTGAAGGCTAACTCGCCATTACCGTCACTTTCCAAAGCCGCTGTATCTTTAAGAACCGCAGGACGCAGAAACAAAGCAGATCAGTTTTCCCCGTTACTGGGAAGACAGCCGACTGAGCTGCATCAAGCAGGAATCAAATCCCGCCCCCCACTCCCCGCGCCTCATAGCACCCCATAGCACGACTACGAAGTACATGTCTAGGGAGCTCGCTAGCTAAACGTGAAGAAGCCCGCTCGGCCAAAATCCTCGACCTCCGTTCACGCCTCACCTGTGGGTCGTAGAGAATGACAGAGCGACAGGACCCGAAAGCCAACAGCGGTCCTCTCCCCCATGAAATCACTCCGGGGCCGGCGCGGTTAGCGGAGCAAGCTATATGGCACACTTCTAAGGAGGCTGCCATTTTCTCTCGCGTTCCAGTAAAATTGACTCCAAGCGGCCGCCGTCGAAAGGCTCGTCCATAGAACGGAAGCGATGCGCTCTGGGGAGGGCTTCGACTGCCGTGTTGAGCTCTGTCAAGATTCTTGGATTGCAGTCGCGGTTGGAGCCCGGTCTGGAATGCGGAGAGTTTTTACAAAACTACGATTACGTCAGAGTTCTCATGCTGATTAGTTCGAAAATTCCATAAGAGTCAATCGGTCTGTCTGCCTATTTTTCTGTCCTTCCCTGGAAAAAATCTGAACAATTGTGAGTATGATGTCCATATACCACTTTAGGCAAACACACACACACACACACACACCATTTTCCCGCCCCCCCCCGATTTTGAAGTACTTCTCCCAACACACCATTGTGCTTTCATCTCCTTAGAAATCAGTTGCCCTTCCATAGCTATAAAACTGTAGAAATAGAACAGGATGGTAAACAATTGATTTGGGAAATTTTCAGGAGTCCCAAAATTACTGAGAATCTTTGGGAATTCCCCACTTAATCTGATCTCTCATGTGCAAGTAACTCCTCAATCTCACAATGCATGGGCAAAAGAACCTAACAGATAAGTCTGACAATGCATGTATGAAGCATTGATTTAACCGATTAATAGGGAAGGGATTATGCATGCATAAAATGGAGAACAGATTTTGTGCATTGCACTCAAAGTCCACTAAACCAAACCAAACTGAAAGGTTTTTTAAATTATTAGATGTATATCACACCTTTATTTTGTACAGTTCATGGTGCTGTACATAATGCTGTCACCAGGACTGCCACTGACCTGTAAGGTGCCTTTGTGCAAAAGGGCTTTTTGCCACCAGAGCATCAGGTCACATCACGTGGCAGCTGCGGCTTCCTGGCACTTTGTTCTCCTTTCCACAGTGCATGCACAGATGCACAGAGTAGTAATTGGACGGTCGTCTTCCCCCAACCTGGCACCCTGCAGTGCAGCACTGGGCTACTCCTGTTCCGATCGTTTGGTGCCTTCTCGTATCCTGGTCCCTTTCTGCAGTGCACAGCTTGCACACCTGTTTGCAGCACTGGCTCTCACCTCCTATTTCCCCCCCAACAACACAATTAGGTAGGTTCAGCTGAGAGAAAGTGACTGGCCCAAAGTCACCCAGTTGGCTTTCATGCCTAAGAGAGGACTAGAACTCCCAGTCTCCTGGTTTCTAAGCCAGCACCTTAACCGTCCCACCAGGCACGTCGCACCAATGAGTAAGCACACACTAACTTGTGAATAAACATACAAAGAATTGCACCAACCCCATTCAGTCTGTTAAAAAAGATCTTTGAAATCCATGGGTCTCTAGGTCGATGAGTTTTGGTTTAGTTTGCTTATCATTTGCTATTTTTTTTCTAATTAAATCTAAATCTAGCTTGACTCCCACTGATCCATGGACACATTTTCATGGTAATAACATGGAACTGATTTTGTCATTGCCTTCTTCCAGAATGCTTTGTTTTTTTTTGGTCTTCTCAATCTAACCTATAGCCCTAGTATTCCATACTGACCTTCCACCCAAATACTAACCAGGCTGCTTAGTCAAACAAAATCAGCCATGCGCTGCTACTTGATGAAACCATGTATTTGTACATGGTTACATTAGTAATAATAATAATATTAGTATTAGTATTATACTAATATTATTATTAGTAATAATAGGTAAAATCCTCATTTTCTGTCTCAACTGATCATTTGCTTATTCAACAAAAATCTTTAAAGAAAAGGCTGGCAAATGCTATTTCCTCTCCTGCTTCGCTTTTCTTTACAAACAAAACTTCATTATTCTAGGAGAGCCAGTTGTTAATTTCTACATATTCTTTCCCATGACCTCAGCAACAATCCAACCAATTACAGACGTAGGCTCCTCCAGAAAACAAAGCCACTTTTTTGAGAGATGGCATCATCTTCTACAAAAGCCATATAAAGTTTTTAATCCTGTCCTTTTTATTTGAAAGAATACACCCTTCCAATAGTGAAAAATATTTGGAACTGTAGGTTTCCAACTTTGTAATATGGAGTTTGAGCCATTAACAGCACCTTATTGTTGCAAATCCCACTGATTTGTGGTAGTAGAGTTGAGTGGGAGCTAAGCAACAGACATTGCTAAGCAACAGCTTCCGTTCTGGTTGAAAGATATTGACATGACAAGGTGCAGAAATAGTACTACAGTGAATGAGAATGACAGGTCTAAAGTAGAATGGGGGAGAAGTCTTAACACATTCCAAGAAGAATTCAAATCCCATTTTAGGAGTATTTTAGTTGATACCCATTGTTTACCCAAATGCGTTAGACACAATTCCAGAGAATTCTGTGCAAGTGAGGTTGCCAGCTTTTTCTGCTGGCCTGTTCCTAGACATTTAATTGTAGCAGAATACCAGAGAAGTAGCAGATTTTATCACCTATGCCAGGGGAAATTTCATCAAAATTACTGATATAGGAACAGGGCCTATATATTATGGCATAGACATCATTCGATGCAAGTTCAACATTGAATGCAAGTTAAACCCATCTGTTTAAATAACAATGTTTCTTCATTTGTTCATTTATACAAATCTAGTTCAAATGTTTAAAACCCATTTCTGAACTATGTTCATGTTTTAACTGACATGGACAGGGTAAGGGAATTCCATCACTAATCTCTATACATTTTAGCAGGATTTGTGATTATTTTTCCGCATGTCTTTGTACAATGATGCCACTGCCATTTCACTTTGCTCATGGGATCAGGAGAATCTAACTTGCTAGCATCATCTCCTCTGCTATGCAGACTGGCAAGAGAACAACAGGAAATCAAATCAAGCGTTCTGTGCATCACACTTGATGGCTTTTCAAAGTCAATATCTAACAAATACAGAAAGTGATAATTTGCTAATGATGGTTGACTGCACCACATTAAAACATGTACTCAGTCTTCATGCTGGCAAGACACAGATTACTTTCCTGGAATAGAACATGCCATCTTAGTCAACCAGTTTAGGCTATTGTTAGCTGCTCCTGTAACCAAACACTTCTTTCTACACAATTTCTTTAAGAGACTTAACATGTGTATACTATACTAAACTAAACCTCAGGATGTTACAGAGTAACTTTGAATGCTAAATTAATGGCCCTAGTTATAATAGTGATGAATAACAGGGCAAACTTTATTTTCTTCAACCAGATTATAGCCCTTGTATATATTAGATGGATGACATGCTTTATGATGGCAGGAATACTTTTTGCTAGGGAACATCTTGTTAATCAATGTCAGCAATGCTTAATCTTCTGGAGTTTTATATCCCAGCCACCCATTAAAATGCTAAGTTAACAATCAGATTACCAATTTGAATTTGATCATCAAATGTTGCCTCTTCCTCCCATTTAAAGGACATACATCATTCTCAGTATTTAAGACTGAGCAAAGCAACAGAATTAGGTAGTTGTAAAGTAAGGCATGAAGCAAATTATTTCAGAATCTTGTAGGGAGTTATCCTTGCCTTTTTCATCTATTCTTCCCTATGTTTGTTTGTTTATTATATTTGTTGTTTTATCTACAGTGTATTTTATCATGTTTATGGTAGGAGTAAGAAACAAGAATCTCCCTGCTTGTCTTTCTACCTCTACTATACATTCCATTCTAAATATGTTCCCATTTTAAAGAGCCTTTAGCACCTCTTTCCTACTTTGAAGAAGGATATTTATAATACATGTATATTTGGCAGGAAATTCCTAAGAAGATAGGGAGTGTAACCTTTCTCTGACAAGCTATTTTCCCATCTCTGAAAACACAAACATGTTTATACTTAATTTATTGAGGTTTGTAGATCTTAATATTATAAAGGCTGCAAGTGCAATAATAAGACTATAGTTTGCACATTTGTTGTTGTTTAGTCATTAAGTCGTGTCCGACTCTTCGTGACCCCATGAACCATA